TATATATATACATATATATAATGCGTTATATATATTGCATAACGCATTATCTTCTTGGAATCACTGCTAAGCTATAACTGCTTTGCTGACATTTATATGGTGATAAATGATTTTCCAAACAATGAACATAATTATGTTGAACAGTTTATGTTGATTAGTTGTTTTGAATGATTTATCAATACTTTATATTAAAATATTAGAAAACAGAATAAAACGTTCCGTAACAAAACACTGATCTGGTATGTTTAGCGTTACGATAGTTTAAAATTTGCGCATGCGCCACCCTTTCTAATCATAATAATTTTCGATTATGATTTTATTTAGATACAAACAAATAGACTGTCCAACGTTGTTTTATACCCTTTTAAAAAAACTGTTGAAAAATGTTCAATTTATACTTAGAAAACACTCAAATAGTTCAAATTACAGCAACTGTTGCAAAGTTTTGTGAAACATACAAAAATAAAGCTTACCAAGAAACTTGGTAAATTCCAAATCCGGCGAACGATAAATTCAATTCAAATGTTTGTGATGGCACTCTTTGATAAAACTATTACTTTATTCTTTGTTATCAGCAATGTGAGGCGACAGTTTACAAATAACTTCTTGTTGATTTCTTTACATCACGTTATCAGTTTAAATGTACATGCATATTACTGTATGTTTAAAATATACGAAAGACCGGTGGTGACATTTCAACTTCTTGAATTCTCGGGTTCTTCTTCAAGAATTCACTATTTCAACTTCATGAAAGCATGATTTCAACATGTAGGATTCACTATCTTACGATTTCAACTTTATGAATTCAAGATTTCAACTTCACGAAGTTAAAATTGTGAATTCACGAAGATGAAATCGGGAATTCATGTAATTGAAATGTCCCCACCGGTCTTTCGTAATTTATTGAGTCTCGAAATTGTGATCAAATAATTCAATGCCCTCTTATTTATAATAAAAATTATCTTTGTAAATGAAGTGTTCATTTCAGGAATTTATTTTTATATTTAATGTTCCAAAATGATCACCATATGAACATATCTGCGAATGATTAAAATCGTTATCATGTTTAAATGGCGAGTTTTGCATCCATGAAAAAACTGATTTGACTCTTAAAAACTTTGCTCGGAGAGTAATTGACTCGAATGATTCAGGACCTTCTGATATATAGTCAAAATATTTCCACATCCAAAGCTAGATTCAGGCGTCATTAAAATTTATGAAAGAATATGAAATTATAGAAATCTACAAGGTAGTTAAAGAAATAGTTTGATTGAAATGCCTACAAAAGGATATGAGTGAAATGCCTACAAAAGGATATGAGTGTAGGGGAATTGGTCAGAAGGACGGGGTCAAAATTGACAAGAAATCTAGGGGGAGGGATAATTACTTACGTTGCCATAGGACCGAAAAAACACAAGGGACACAAAAGGATCACCCACAATGCATTAATATCTAACAAACAAACATCCTGAGGAACATAGAGGGAAGCTAATAGGCATGAAATAAGTATGCTGTGGAGTTTTCAACGTTCAGGTACCAAACTTTCTCTAGCCCAACGTAGGCTAAGCTCCATACTTATAATTCGTTCCCTCAGCATCAATTAATACAAACTCCTAGCCGTAATTGATAATCTGCCCCAACTTGAATAAGAGGGCAGCAGTAATGTATGTACGTGATACAAATTTAGTTTAACAAAAACTTAACAGATGAAATACGTCTTGAAATTCTAAAATCTCTGGCATACTAGTAAGGTAGATTTAGATGTACAAAAGTTTACAAACTGCTGCACCAGAAAGAAGATATTATATAATATTCTTAATAATGATGATATACATGTAATAATAATTTTGAATATATAGATATTGATTTATAAATATTGAGTGTTTAAGTGATGAAACTCATTGATAATGCAAAAAAAGAATGGGTATAAACTAAAAGGAATGTCACATGAAAAAAATGGTAAGGAGGCATTTCTTTTCTCTTCGTGTTATATCATATAGGAATAATTTGCCAGAAATGGTCATAAATGACCCTTCACTAAATAGATTTGAGAACAGGGGAAATGGGCCCGTTTGGGGGCAGCATGTACCCTAACCGGGTAAAGTCCTAAGGGTTACATACAGTTGATCCCCCCGCCAGTAAAATTTGGTAAAAATTTTTACAAGAATAAGAGAAAATTGTTAAAACTTTTACAATGTTAATTAATAAGTATAATATGCTGTTTTCCCTTTAAAAAAAAGTATTTGCGTACAATTCCCTTTCTCATTTTTTCTAGCTGTAAAATTTAAGATTTTGATTGGATTATATAAAAAATAACCTCCAATTAAATTCCATTTCCGTCCTAGATAGGAAAATGGCGACCTACGCACTTGAATGAAAGGAAGTTAGGCATATTTCCTTTATACTTCCGCAATGTCGTCAGAAATAGAAAAAGAGTTTGCGGAAAATGAAGCAAATCATCTCTGGCCCCAATTTTATCAGGTAAAAGAGTTTTGTATTATGATATTTCGAGTGGCACTTTCAATTTTGACTTTTCCTCGATTCTCGTTTATAAATTATTTTATCATCATGATCATGTAGATCCTGTTGTGTTGTCACGCATGTGCATAATTCCATGAACGATTCTCTGTTTGATAATCCGGAGCCTTCTTATAATTTGACATTTATTTGTGCATGGCAATTTTAATACTCTTGTTGATATATCAAATATGCAAGATGAAAATTAATGCAAGCAAATTGAAGAATAGGAAACTGAAAAGTCGTATTATTACCTAGTCAGAGTTTAAAATGAAAGTAGACATAGTCAAAAATTGATATGAAAGAAGACAAAGCCTGAGTTAGACAAAAAATTGTTCATTTATATTTTTCGTTATAAATGTGTCAGTAATTAGGTATTTCATGTAGCCCGGGGTTCTATGATATCACGGTACTTAACGTTTATCGGAAAATATTTAAATATAAATATCATAAATGAATGAGATTTTTCTTCCATCTTATAATTGAACCTTTTCCAGAACTGTTTGTCAAAAAATTATTTTTAAAGAACCAATAAAAATGACATTTTTTAGAATATTTTCAATGTCTGCCATTTTGGGTTATTTCAGAGGAGGTTACTATGGTATCAAGGTAATCCCCAAAAAAGCAAGTATGGAAGGATAGATGGCTCAAAACTTTCAGGTTAAGTTGTGAAAAACTTCCAACAGTTAACTTGCTATAAAATTAAAACTATATGAACAGACTATATGTCAGTATATGTGTTTATAACATATTTTAATTGACTGTGTAAAAACCATTAAGGAAAATGGTAGTCAAATATATGAAGGTTTTATAAAATAGTTTTCTTGCTACAAATACATTCATTATTCACCAAATTAAATTTATTGGCAGATGAAAATGAATCTAGTGTGCAAGTTTTACAAATATTAGCATCATCATGTGTTGCTTTTACTAAGAAGTCACAGAAAATTTAAATACCTTGATATCATAGAACCCTTGATATCATAGGAACCGAGTATACTGCTTCTGTTTTCAATAATTAAGTCTGAACAATTTTTCTTAAAACAAAAAGTGGTGATTGTTCTGTTTTTGGAATACCTCGGCAATAATGATTGAGTTACATTGAAAATGGTGGCGCCTTACTAGAACTGAGACTGAAAATTTCATTTATAGGTATCAGTGTTGCATCTAGGCCACGCGATTGCGCGATTTGCGCATTTTTTATGAAGATCGCGCATTTTAATGAAATCAGTGTGCGCCAAGTTGCGCATCTAACTATCTTTTCAACTTAATTCAGTTTATCTTCATCGTATCTTAAACGCTTCAGCCATGTTTGTTTTCACTCGTGGTTATGACTAAAAAACGTACTAAATCGCGTGTAGCAGCTGACTAAGTCATCTCGGGTGTGTTTTGTAGTATTCGTCAATATTTTATTTTTTCTACTTCTGTTTTTGAGCGGACGATAGCTGTCAAAAATGCCTAAATGTAAAATAAATGAATTCTATTCGGTATGTCATATTGTAAGGTAAATGTATGTCCCCCAAATTTTTTTCAAATCCCCCACATTTTTCGATTGAGTGGGGGACAGTCCCCCATAATTTTGAAATTCTAGATGCAACACTGGGTATAGAATTCTAAATATATTTTTTAATTGTTTTTTACTTTAATTTCCTTTTAAATATACTCATTTAGTCTATAACGGGACAAGCCAAAAGCCAGGTTCCTGGTCCAGGCCTTTCCCGTATTATTAATTAGTATGCAAACATTTGTTTTTAGATGTAGACTTAACAAAAATTCAAAATATAATGAAAAATAAACCAAAGTACACACTGATAAAAAAACAAAACACAATAAAGTTGTCATTTAAATGACTAGTTGGCACTGAAAATGAAAAGCTGGGAAAAAAAACTTTGTATATTTTAATTTTTATAGACTGAAAAATGATATCATCTTTAGAATGGCCGACCATTATGATGATATCCGTAAAAGTATTTTATAAAAGTAATATATATGTTCATATTATTAACTCGCAAGTTACTGACCTCATTATTGCCATATACATGTACTTATCATTGAAATAAATGGTGTACGACAAGCCTCTGCAGTATGTTTAGGCAGTGGTTTAGGCAAGAACTTAAATGACTAGCAGTATGCCTTATTCTCATCGATTTGTGCCTAACCATCGATTCATGACTTAAAAAAATGTCTGGTAAAAACACTCCAGCTATGACATACACCATCCGAAAACTACACATGGTTTTAGCAGACACTCGATTTGACAATTTTATCCAATCAAAATGCGTAATTGAACAGGTGTAAATGTGCTTACCCACAGTCCATTTGATGACCTAATTACTTTAAAATATTCAATATTGATGTTATTATTTATCAAACACACTAACAATCAAGCAAAAAAAAATATTCATAATGCTGTAAAAATTAACTTAAGACTTTGAAACATATATTGGTCAGATCAGACTGAAAATAACCATGCTAACATTTAGGGGTGTGAACACCTATATTTTGATGACTTCACAATGTGAATCGGATTTCACGAATCAATTTGAAAGCATCCAGCTGAGCAATCAGTCATGGTTCAGATGCTCTTATCTTTGAGCAGTTGTTATAAGAAGTAATTTAAAGTTTTTGAACTTTTAGATATTGAATTCATTTAACAAATGCACTAATTGCATTGCAAGTATGTCTGATATGTGTTGCGCATGTGCAATTTTTCAAAATAAGGGTCACAAATTGACGAGAGAAAAGCATTGTAACATGGCATGTACATAATCTTATAAGCATCATATAGTCATAGTATGATTGGTTCTGATGTAAACTTTAACAATTTTGATCCGATTCACAACCAAAGTAAAATCTTGAGAAAAAATGTGAATTTTTGACTCTCATTCGATTGACTTGTCTACTGCTTTATTACATTGCATATGATTGGTTAATTTAACTCAGTCATCCAATCAGTGAGTGCATAGGTTACGCAAGGTAAGGAATTAAACAAAGCAACATGTAAGATATGTTTTTCGTCCGTTGACAAAATATTTCGTTCATTGATCATGATGTAAAGTGTCAACAATATCTTGACATAGTTTATGATACAAATATCATCAATAAATATGAAATATAATATAGTTAAAGTATGATGCTGAATTGCTCATTATTTGCCAAAATAGTTTTGAAAAAAAAGGGGCAAGAAATTCTAGCCTAAATAACTGACTAAAAAAAACAAAAAAAACCCCAAAAGATTAATTACATCATCTTGATTATCAAGTTACTGTATTATACGACTTGTTTAAGTAACAAATCATTTGTTTATACATGTAGATGTATATACATTATAAATTAATGTTCATAAATAATGAACGGCTCCAAATGATTATTTCCTTACTAATTTTAAAGATGGTGTTGTATATAAATTTATGAATAGTGTGTATTTTGTATAGAAAGGACTTTCCTAGACATAGTGTATAATTATCCAGCATCTGTCATTATCTAAGCATCATTCTGTTGCTCTTGAACAATATCATTGTCTCCATTTCCAATAGTTCTGCTTGACTTTCAATTTTGATTTTGTAAATGCCCTAAACACAATTGAGAGTTACTTAATGACCTTTACAATACCAAAGTGACATAAAAAAAAACACTTTGAAATCTTATAAAAATGTTGCATCTTTGATAAATGTAATGATACATTGTATCATCTAATTTTAACTTCCTTCTCTTTTTAGAACAATAGCCAGTCTGTTTAGTCATGGTGTGTCATCATTTATTACTCAGTTCAAGTATCACAGTCAGTGTGATAATTAAATATAAGTTTTGTTAGTAGTATTTGAGTCAGTGTTTCTTCAATCTTATATTTATCACTAAACTGGGTTTCATTATGCATTGAAACATAGATTTTATGAAAGATTCATGGAATGCATCTATTTGCATTGAAATCTGTGTTGGCATGTACAGCTGTACTGCCTATTGTAACTTGCCCATTTGTACAAAATGTAACTATAAATATTTTAATAATCATTTACTGCTCAGAAAGTTGTTTAAGATGAAGCTTCAATTACAATTTAAAAGATATCTAGACAGCCTTTGTGCTCCCCAATTATATACAGTAAACAAAATTGTTTGTTATGATGCATCGTCTGATACCCAAGGCTGAATCATTAACATTTATCATGTTATAATATATTTTAAGCAACAGTCAGTATTTGACGCTGGTTAAAGGGACTCCACTGAGGTTTTTTGACATGATGGGACTGAAAACATTTTTTCCTGATATATGTACCACTTCATGTAGGTTTAGACTACTAATCTCTGTGCAAAAGTTCAGATCATTGGCGCACTTCAGTTTTTTCAGAATAATTATTCAAAGTATAGGTTAGAGTGCATATTGGGTGTTCTTCGTAAATAAGAAAGCTAAAAAGGAGCGGAGCTTGTGAAGCGACTGTAGCTTTCTTATTTACGAAGAACATCCAATATGCACTCTAACCGGCTTAGTGCTCCGCCCATTTTTTTCCGCCCAACACACTGCATGACGTCACGCGATAGCCTAAATGTGTATAACCATATTTGGAAGAGGTAGCGGTACACATTTTCGGGTCACGTGTTTTGCATAGCTTATTCCCGCATTCTGTCTAGGTAAATCAGACAATATCACTGTGCATATCCATATCGGTACCCTCTTTGCGAAATATTCTCAAACGGTACCCTCTTTGAACATTCACAGGTCATTCTCTGCTAAAAACAAACCAGCAATGGATAACAATGCAGTAAAAATTCATTGTAATAAGGAAAGGAGGTATGACACGTAGAAAAGATGTATACCACTGAACACTAGAATGTTTTATTTATGTGCTGATTTGTCATGTGCCCGATTTTCATGTACTACAACTTCACAATAAGCTACAAAAAGTCGACATGTCTTGCCTGGCCCGTCACCTCGACATATTTTTCGGGCTGAAATGAACCTGTAGCTTGATTATATATGCATCATACATATTTATTATGTTCATATACATATCATCTTCGGACAAATGGCAGTATATTGTAAAATTAATTAAAAAAACCCTACTTTCGGTTTTGTAGCTGCATAGGCTGTAATATTTACATAAAAAGTAAGAAATATTACATACATACTTTGTTGGAATAAGTGAACTTTTTATTTGGAAATTATAAAATGATACTGGCTCCGTAAGTAATAAAACATTTTTACTGTTATTTTGCCTGTTTTCATTTCAATGAACCCCTTTTTTTAAATTCTATGCCGTAGTGACGATATACATGTGCGTGTACGGAAAAACATGATGCATAAATATTGATTAGTAGGAGTAAACTTCAAGATCTCTGCACATGCGTACATTTCACTTTAGCGCTCTTCGAAACTTAGCTCCGCCCACTTGTTTATAATATTAAACGTCCAGTTTATATAAAATCTGTTCTATTAAGATTTGTAACCTGAAAATTTGAAAAATCCTTGTCGGTGATTGGCTTAAAAAAATTGGCGAGCACTAATTGTAAAAAATGACCCAAAATGAAAAGTGTTTAAATGCTTTTAACTCAAATCAGGCTAAGAAAAGCATAAAAATACGATTTTCAATTTATTTTATAGTGTATTTCTTAACCATCTTTGCATATATTTCTGTTTAAAGTGCCCCAGCGCATTCATGTAAGAAATTCAAATGTTATGTTTTTAGGCATTTAAACCTCAGTGGAGTCCCTTTAAAGTGTTGTACAAAGGGTAGACTTTGTTGTTATTTAATAATTGTTTGTGGACCTTAATTGCCTGGTTTCTTCGGTCATTTAAATTTAATATGTTCTAAAACTGGTGATATTTTCTTTGTTAATTATTAAAGAGCATGAATTAATACTTGTATACTAAAAAGATTTTTAAAAGGGATGGATAGTCATGTAAAATAAACCATATAAAAATTGAGTGCAAAAAATTAAATTCTTCTATTAAAATTGCATTGAAACAAAAAATGTTAATCCTGTCCAGAAATCTTAATATACCTTGTATGTTCCTTTGCAGATAATTAAAAATGAAGCTTCTATGATCTCAATAAATGAAAAATTATCTGTTGGAGAAGCAAGAAAACCTGAAAATAGAAGTAAAAACAGATACAGAGATGTCAGTCCATGTAAGTTTTCTTGATTCTTTTAATGCAGGCTGAAACTAAGTCAATAAAAATATATTCCCTCTCCCTCACTTCCTAACGCAGCTGGTAATCAGAAATGCATTCATCATGTTCATTACATTATTAAAGTTTTGATAGGTGTAGATTTACCATTTACATGATTTTCTCTATGCTGTGTTTTTAACTTTTTACATTGAGGCATTAATTTTCATTCACTCATACTTATAAGCTAAATGAAAATTCTTAGTCAATATGTTACCATATAAATGCCCGTTTGTATCTTAAATATTGCACCGAGGGACATCTGTGGTCTTTTTCCATCAGTAAAACTGGATAGTCTGCATTTTACCTTTAGTATTTGTGCAACGTAAAAACCACATGCAACTAATATTTACATGAAATTTTATGTTGTTATTTTTATGTTTTAATTAGATGACCACAGTAGAGTTGTCCTTCAGAGAGTACCAGAAGGAGACTCTGACTATATTAATGCCAGTATCATAAAAGTGCCGGAGTCTAACAGGACCTATATTCTCTCACAGGTAAATTAATCTTATCATTCTCTTTTTAAATATTGAGGTAGTTTGGGTGTTACCACTGAGGCATGTTACAGTATATAATATAAATCCATTTTTAGCTCGACTATACGAAGTATATGGAGAGCTGTCCTACTCGCCCCGGCGTCGGCGTCCGCGTCCAGATTTTAGATTAAAGTTTTGGTGCAGTAAAATATTTTTCACTATAACTTTGTCATTTCTTAAGGTATCAACTTCAAACTTCATATATATGTTCCTTATCATCAACCACATCTTATGTGACAAGGTTCATAACTCTAGCACCAATATTTTCAGATTTATCTCCCCTTGAACTTAGAATTTTCCTTAAAAAATACTATTTTTTACTGTTACTTCTTTATTTCTTAAGGGATCAACCTCATACTTCAAATATATGTACCTTATCATCATCCCCATCTTATGTGACAAGGTTCATAACTCTAGCACCAATATTTTCAGATTTATCTCCCCTTGAACTTAGAATTTTCCAAAAAAAATACTATTTCTTACTGTTTCTTCTTTATTTCTTAAGGGATCAACCTCATACTTCAAATATATTTACGTTATCATCATCCCCATCTTATGTGACAAGGTTCATAACTCTAGCACCAATATTTTCAGATTTATCTGCCTTTGAACTTAGAATTTTCCATAAAAAATATTATTTTTTACTGTTACTTAATTATTTCTAAAGGGATCAACTTCATACTTCAAATATATTTACGTTATCACCATCCGCATCTTATGTGACAAGGTTCATAACTCTAGCACCAATATTGCAAGAATTATCTCCCCATAAACTTAGATTTTTTTACTAGAAAAATGTTATTTTTTATTATAACTTTTTAATTTTTAAAGGTATCTACCTCTAACTTCAAATACTTATTCCTTATCATCAATTACATTTTATGTGACAATTTTCATAACTCTTGAAGCAATATTTACAGATTTATCTCTCTTTGAACTTAGGATTTTCTTTAAGAAATATAATAACTTTTTTACTTTTTAAGGTATCTACTTCAAACTTCAAATATATATTTCTTATCATTACACAAATGTTGTGTGGCAAGGTCCATAACTTTAGCATGACTATTTCTAGAATTATTCCCCTTGATCTTGGAATTTATGTTAACAAATATTATTTTTTTACTATAACTTAATACATAATTATACATAATTGATTTTTCTTTCATAGTTTTGTCCTCCTAACTGTGTCCAGTATTTTATTAGTCGAGCTTCGCTGTCTCCTGTGACAGCTCTTGTATGTTTTGGAAGTATATTTTTTACTTAAATGTATAGTTCTTATTAGAAAAGTGTAATAATATCACAATAATTTTTTGCATATCAGACAGGGGTTTCTGCTGTTTTACAACAATACTAGGCAATTCCGTGTTACACCCCAGTGTTAGACAAGTCACATGTTGTAAATGTTGTCATTCATGAGTGTCTTTGATGAATAAAATGCTTGCTTAGAATGATGACACTTTGCTGATATAAATGAAGTTGTAAAGTTATACTCTTCTATAAAAAAAAAGTGCTACATGAAAATGATATTAGTTTAAGTAATTTCTTTCACAAAACATGATTTAAATGTAACAATAGAACAGGTTAGTAAAAACTGTCTTGAGTCAACTAATTTACTGACAGTTCTTCTGATGAAACAAAGAGAATTAGCAAGAAAAAGAAACACTGGCTGTTGTAAGGGATGGGAATATCTTTCTCACTGACAGTTATAATATGTTTTTTACATGGAAAATATGCTATTCATTATATAAATGATTTCAGGGTCCTCTAGAACACACGGCAGGCCAGTTCTGGCAGATGATCTGGGAACAAAATACCAAAGCTATTATTATGTTAAACAGAGTCATAGAAAAGGGAACTGTAAGTTCTGTACTGAGTTTTGTTCTGCCAGGTTTTATTATTCATGTGAAGAACTGTATACAGTAGTACTCTTAAGTATATAATAAAGGTACAAAGTACAATAAGCTAACCCTTAAAGCTGGATGCCTCCAGACGAGTAAAAAATATTACTAGAAAATCAACATTAAGAAAAACGTACAAAGATTTTAAGATAGGTGAAAGTAATAACATGTTGTATGCAACTAATGACTGATTTTGCAGTATTCATTATCATTACAATATTTCTACTGAGTGACTAACACAATAAGTGTTATTTTTCCATATTCTGTCCTATTTTGGTAGTTTTTGAAATTTTTATGTGCCATTTGTCAGGGCTGGGAACCAAAACTGCGTCGTACCTTACAAAATGTAAACAAACGCCGCCATCTTTTTTTTTTTTTTTTTTTTTTTTTTTTTTTTTTTTTTGTTTTTTTTTTTTTTTGTTTTTTTTTTTTTTTTTTTTTGAAGCCCAATAGGTAACTCCGTTTATTGTCCCGTAATAGGTAAAATAGGGTCGGGGATCTATCCACTATTTTACCTTACAATTTATTATAATATTACAAAAAAACATATAACGGGCATTATATCATACATTATTTTATAATACATACAATACACAGAAGATAAATGTTCTCTTGGGATTCAGAGTATTTCATTTCCACTAAAACTGGATATAATATACACAGACTGTAATATATAAGTAGTTAATTCAAAAAAGGTTCTATCTATTTGCTATCATATCAACTAATGAGTACATAGATTTTTTAACTTTTGTATAACTAACTATTGAAGATGCTAGCTTTAAACTGCAGACAAGACCTTGTAAAGATGGTATTATCTCCCTCCTCTTGCACAAGAATATATATCTTTTTAATTCTAGACAAAAAATATTAAATTGACATTGGTCACCTTTTTGATACCCTAAAATAAATGTTTTACAATCAACCTTCCAATCAACATTATGACATTTAAGCAAATGTTGCACATCTGAGATAAAAGTTTTTATAACCGAACAATTCCAGAATAAATGAGATAATGTCTCTTTTTCTTCTTTGCAGAAAGTACATTTATCAGATTGTGTCAATTTCATTTTATACATTAAATAGTTTGTTCCTAGAATTCTATGGGTGATTCTAGTTTGAAGCCATTGAAGGTAACTATCATTAGTTTCAGTGTGAACCCATTCAAACAGGTATTTCCACTCAGTATCATCAATGTTAAAATAAGCATTCCATTTTGATATACATGTAGGTATTTGACAATTATCAATAAATACATTATATATGGTAGAGGTTCCACTTCTACATAAAAATATATGTTTTTATATAAAAGGGAATAGACGGCAATAATACATTGGTATTAGAATATTCTATTTTTAGAGACTTTATGTACTTTCTAATAGCACTTTTCAAACCTTCATAAACTAAAAAATTCATATTTGTACCAATTTTTGTTTCTAAATTTTCTTTACTCACAAAATTTCCATTTTTTTGCATAATATCTTTGATAAGAAACACTCCATTTTCATACATTGATTTAACATACACAGGCTTTCTATCTATCAAAATATTATTATTGTAAAACAATGGACAATTAACAAACTGGTCTATATCTGTTATTTTCACAATATCTATATAGTCAATAAATGCTAACAAAACATCTTTCCAAAAGTTATTGTACATTGATTTAGATTCAATTTCTACATAACACTTTCCACAGTTAAAAACTTTGTCATAATTAAAAATGTTACTAACAAATGTGAAACATTTTTTACCACTTCCAGTGAGAAGTCTTCTAAACCATGTTAATTTCAAACTTTTCATATATGCAAATACATCAATCATTTTTAAACCACCTTCCCTGTAGTTTTTTATTAAAACACTAGATTTAATTTTTGATGGGCCACCCCAAACAAATTCATAAAACATTCTATTAATATCTTTGAGTATTTGTGTACTTGGGTTTGGAAGAGACATAAACAACTGTGTTAGAAGTGGTAATATAATAGACTTAACAACTGTAATTCTACCAATAGGAGTTACCTCCCTCCGATTCCAATACTTTATGCAATTTTCTATTTTCTTACATTTTTCTGTGAAATTAATATCTACCATTTTTTATAAATCTACATGAAAATTTATACCGAGCAATTTCAAAGCTCTGCCACCCCGTTTAGTTTCCACTTTGTTTTAATAGATCTAGTACTATATTTGTGTAAGCCTATCCATATAATATGTGTTTTTCAAAATTTACCTTAAGTCCAGAATGTTTAGAGAATGTATGGAAGGTATCTAAGGTGTTATTCAAAGAAACTTCTGAACCATCTAATAATAGAGAAGTGTCATCAGCGAACTGAGATACTCTGTATTCCACATCATTAATATTGATTCCTTTAATATATTTAGAGTTTCTTATTTTAATTGCTTAATTTTAGCACACAAAATAAAGATTATACGGACTTATGGGTTCTCCTTGACGACAGCCTCTCCCTATTTCAAAGAAGTCAGAGAGAAATCCATTTAACTGTACAGCTGTTTTTACATTTTTCATAAAAAGAGATATCCATTGTTTAAACATTGGACCAAAATTGAAGAAAGAGAGTGTGTTTTTTTATGAAATTAAAAGACAAGGTATCAAAAGCTTTTTCAAAATCTATCATCAATAGCATTCCAGGAATCTTATGTTTTTCTGTGTAGTTCATGACATCATATAATAAACGTATGTTCTCACCAATAAATCTACCTTTTATAAAACCAGTTTGATCAGAAGAAATTAATGAGTCTAAAACTGTTTTTAACCTATTGGCTATTGATCCTGACGCTAATTTATAAACAACATTTAAAAGGGTAATTGGTCGCCAGTTTTTTAAAAATTGTCTAGGCTTGTTATCTTTTGGAATGCAAGTAATAATTCCTTGCTTCTGAGTCACTGACAATTCTTCATTTCTAAATCCATAATTAATTGCTCTCAAAACAAAATGACCAATTTTTGACCAGAAAACTTTATAAAAATCAGCTGTAAAACCGTCTGAGCCTGGACTTTTGTCATTTTTCATATTTTTTAAAGTGTTTGACAGTTCAGAGAAAGATAGGAGTCCTTCTAGACTATTTGATTGTTCTCTTGATAATTTGTATATATAATTTGTATTGTCAAGAAAATCATTAATATTTTTTCCCCCAATAACATCAGCATTACTATATAAATTTCTGTAAAATTTTTCAGTCTCATTTAATATTGATTTTTGGTCATAGATAAAAGACCCATCTATATTTTGTAGGTATGGAATTATTTTACTAGCATAATTATATTTTTCTAAATTACAAAAACAATTACTTGGTTTTACCCCCTCATCTATCCATTGTGCTCTTGATCTTATCATATGACCACTTATTTTCTAAGTTTTTATACTTTCCAGTTTTGAATGTAAATCAGATAAAGTTTTCTGATTCTTTTCATTTATGTTTGTCTCTATGTCTTGAATTTTGGAGAGGAGACTGTTTTCTTCAGAATTTCTTTTTTTTGGTTTTGTAACTAGAAAAAGAGATGGTTTTGCCTCTTATTTCCATTAACAGGGTTTCTAAAAAAAGTTGATCATCAATACTAAATTGTAAATCTTCATAATTGACATTTTTCAAAACAGTCAATATTATATACTGGCAACAAATATTGCAATATTACATCATCTATCTTATCATTAATACAATTTAAATATTCTAGGTCACATAGTAAAGAATTATTAAATTTCCATAAACCTTTCCATGTACAATATTTTGTAAATCAATTTTAAGAATTATAATAGAATGGTCAGATCTATAGCTTACATCTATATCACAACCTCTAACATGTGGTAATAAATCTTCAGTAATAAGGAAAAAATCCAATCTGGCTTGCTGAATTGGATTTGTGCGTGCGGCCATGTAAACTTATGGCAATTACCATTTAATTCTCGAAATGGATCAAAGAGACGTTTTTGATCAATGTAATTCAACAATACAGATCTAGAATTTTTGTTATTATTTATAGATTTATAGTTATCATAATCTAATTCTATATCTTGTACTAGATTAAAATCACCACACCAAATAAATGTATTATTATTTATATCATCTATTAAGCGAAAAATATTTTCATAAAACTTTGGCTGGTCTGTATTTGGACCGTAGACATTAATTAATGTAAATTGTTTTGAGTTTACAGATAAATCTAAAACAATATAATTTCCATTTTCATCAACAAAGGATTGATGAACTTTAAGGTCTAAATTTCGTTTAAATAAAATACCAACTCCTCGAGCATTTGATTTATAAAAGCTAAAAAAACATTCAGCATTCCACTGATTGTATAAATGTTTCTTCATATTTTCTGTAAAATGCAAATCTTGTAAACAAAATATATCTGCTTTGCGATCTTTTAAAAAGTTAAACACATCTGACCTCTTTTTCGTATCATTAAGGCCTCTACAGTTATAAGACAATATCTTTATTTCACCCATTGTCAAAAACAACAATCACAGTTTTCCTTAAAAAATCATGTACATTAAAAAAAAGTTCATATATGAGATATTTTTCCATAACTACGTTATAACATTTAGAATATCCAGGTATCAAAAACAGTTTAAGTGTGATAATGAAATAAGTATGCGTAAACAGTGTGTTGCCAAGAATAAACAACACAGTGAAATTTATAATAAATAAACTAAAAAAAATACCATCAAATATAATTAAACAAAACTTCAAATAAATACAATATGGATTGAAATCATTACTGCTAAGTACAAATTAATTTGGTATATTGATAATATACTTAAAAATAACTGCATGCTAATATACCAATATGTAGCAATGTATTATAACATTGTCACAGAAATCAATGTATTAATTTTCTTTTTTCCAAGAACATGGTGTCCTCAAGCATTTATCTTAATTTCATCAAAAAATGCTTTAGTTTTTTACAAACGATTGATTTTAACATATGTACTTGCAGGGTAAGACATATGGTACCCAAAAATTAAATACAAGTTCATTAAACCCACATATAGATAAAATTAAAACAAAAAGTCAACATATAAAATTGTCATGATTTACACACACATATCATAAGATGTTGATGTGTCAGGTACAATAAAATACATTTTAATTCATAGTGGATGATAAATCAGTTTAAACTATATGATATTTGGACTATAATCTTAAAATAACAAAAACAGCATCAGAAATCCTACTGGCAACTTCACAGGATGTTGAATACCACATTTTACCCAGTGAGTCTAACCATCCCACTGAAAGTAAAACTCCTCCCCGATTAAGGCGAAGGATAGAAGTTGACCAGCAGAAAAACTAAATACATGCTTATATTAAACCCTGCCAAATACATATAAATTTAAACCGTATCATTTATTCTTTTAAGAAACAATTAAGTATATCTACACAAAGATATGTTATAACAATGAACTGGATAGCAAATAAAAACAACATTTATAAGTTTCTGATTACATGAATTAATCAATGCAAGGAGTCATTGTTTTTTACTGATCTATAGGCGGTGCTGTAGTCAACTGTTCTGTCACTAAATGCTGTTTTTTAACTACTTTTTCTCCCACGGAATTCACTGATCATGTTATTTATATTGTCATATATGTCAAATTTTATGCGCTCACTGCATTTTGTTTGTCCATAAACTGACCCATTGAAATACCATGCATTTTCAATCTCTGGATGCATTGATAAGCGACTGATCAGTCCTTGGTTAAGCCTGGTAACATCGTCTTCCAAGCGGTGTCCAGCAGCCTTCATTGCACCTCTTTTTCGCATAAGTGTGGATTTTAGGGTGTTATTTCTGAGTTTGAAGAGCACTGGTTTGATAAGACCCTTCTTTGTGGGTATTCTGTGCATAGCAATGAAATCCTCTGGTTTAAGGGTGACGCCAGATTTGATCTGTATGAGATTTGTGACAGTGGTCATTAAGCTCTCTTCTGTTTCCCTGGTCTCTTCCGGAATATTCAGTATTTTAGCATTGTTCTTTCTCGAGTACTGCTCATTATAGTTTGCCATCTTGGAACGAAAAAGGTATGTTTTCGTTTATAACTCTTTTTGTTGGAAATGACTTAAAACCAGAAATATGTATTAACACGCTCCACTATTTTCCGCCTCGTTCGGTATATGTAGCTTGCACAACTATAAGTTTTGTGGATACGACACAGTTCATATTGGGTTTTTCCTTCAAATCAATTATATACTCCTTTCAAAGTTTACCATAAACTTCAAAATACAATTTATCACCATTTACTAAAATATCATTAAAAAGAGATGTTTATGTTCCAAGAAAATAATGATTTGTACGAAATTATACGAAGCAGTTGTATTTTTTGGCAGTCTTTTCAACAGGGATTATTTTGGCAATATATGTCTTTTTTACGGAATAATTGCTTGCGCTAGATAAAAATAACCCCAGATACTTTGCAGTTTATAGCTTTATTTTAAATACCGGTTTAAGTTTCAAATAATAAAGCTCAACTGTTCTCACCGATTAAGATGAATACTCTAAAATCGGCACATTAAAGACCTAAGTTATTACTGAGTTAATGGGTATTGTTGTAAATTATCCGATAGCAAGAGACCTTTTTCAAAATTTGTAATTCTTTCTTTTTTTAAAACAAAGGTCATTCCTTATTGATACAGGGTCCAGAATGGGTTACCCTGGAATGTTGAATTTTTAATCAGAAGACTGCTAAAGGTAACAACCCCCATTAGTTTCGAACTCGCGGTAACAAGTTTATAAGCATGCTAACACAACACTATAACATGTTGTCATATGGGTGTTATGACAGGTGCTAAAAATGCGACCGAAAAATGAATCCTTTATAGAAATTTTATTACTTTTTCGATTTTCTTGGAACCAATGAGTGACCTCTGCTTTTGACTTAAGTTGTAAACATGAAATGTTGTTGGAAGTTACTAGCATACTTAACGTATACTTAAATAGCTAAACCAATGTGCAGCCTGCAAGGAAAAAATACAACAGCATCGTATCATATTTTAATTTCAGCTGAGTCGTATCATTTCATACAAATTATTATTTTCTAGGAAAATAAACATTTCTTTTAAATGAAACTTTAGTAAGTGATGCAAAATTGTATTTTGAAGTCTATGGTGAACTTTGAAATGAGTGTATAATTTATTTGAAGGAAAATAACTATTGATAAAGCAATATGAACTGTGTCGTATACACACAATTTCATAAAAATTCTTGCCAGCTTCGAGTTGCAAGTTTGCTATAACTTTTGTTTTATTTTACAAAATAGTTGTGCAAGCTACATATACCGAACAAAGCGGAAAATAGTGGAGCGTGTTAATACATATATCTGGTTTTCAGTCATTTCCAACAAAAAGAGTTATAAACGAAAACATACCTTTTTCGTTCCAAGATGGCGGTGTTTGTTTACATTTTGTACGCTACGAAGCAGTTTTGATTCCCAGGCCTGTTTGCAATGTTTCAATCACTTTCTCTGTACACCTGACAATATTTTACTTTTCAATTCATTTAAAAATAATCATGAAAATTTGCATGAATCTGTAGGCGTGCTGCTTTAATTTTTGGATAATTAAATTGAAACTGATACAGAACAAACATGCATGTGTATCTTATTATATTATATTATATTATATGGAGAGCTTTGTTGTCTGCATGTTTATTTTTGAAATAACATATACTAACTTTATGTACTTAAATGTTTTGAATTTCTAAGAACAATGTAACTTTTTAATTAACGGTGTAAAACTGAAGTCACTGTGGTATATGTAGCCTTTAGTGAGCATTACATTTTTTAATGTCACGGAAACAAGGTTAAAGTTAAAGTGTACATGTAGCTTATGGGTATTTTTATGATTTTATCAGTTAAAATGTCACCAGTACTGGCCACTTGGTGAAGATGAAGATGAAGAAGAGTTGACCTTTGACGATACAAATCTCAAGGTCACGTTACAGGAGGAACAAGCCTACCAACATTATACTGTCAGAACATTTGAATTAGAAAATTTAGAAGTAAGTTAATCTGCTTATAAATAAACTAGTTCTTGAGTACAAGTTTTAAGGCATTTGAATGAGTTCTGATTTTTCATACATCTGAAAGCACACTTTTAAGAAGTAAAAAAACAACAACAACAAAAAAAAATTAAGATAATGCTAAATCTCAGGTTTTCCAACATTTTGAACTTGCACCTTGGTAAAAAACAAAACAACAGCTAAAAATATACAGTTTTTACTGCAGAATCAGGAAATATAAAAATTAAAAAATGTTATAAATAAGCCTTCCAAGTGAAGTTATGCAGTGTTCAATCTAGAATAAATTCCCAGGGGGCCCTTCGGGCCCATAAACTTTTCAAAAGGGGGTCATTTGAGAAAAAAGGGGGCCCACACTTAAAATGAACATCAAATTCAAATAAGGTATTGTATCTTTTAAGTTACTTGTTCACGTACCATATTTAGACCAAAAACGGTTGCAAAATTCCAAAACAACTCAACTAAAAAAAATGACATTAGCGTTGATACAGGCTCAATTTTAAGAACTGATTGGAAAAGAAACGCGATGACATAATGTTCAAAGAAAAATATTAATCTTATTTTAATGTTACCAGGGATATTTGATAATAATGTTCAGTTTTTTAATCAGCGCCCGATATATAAAGGAAAATCATATTTTGAAATTAGCTTTGTTTATGAAGAATATAAACTTACAATAGTCGCTAAAAACATTTACCCTTCTCAATATATCCAAGCGAAAAACAAAGTGTCAACAGGTGCTAAGACACTGTATATTGACATACCGGTACCTTTGATCTTTTGTCAGGGCATCAGTTCTTACGTCACGCTTAAGATGTCTGTATTAATTAATGATATGCACAATGTTTTAGCGCTGACCAGCCAATGACCAATCAAAGTTAATTTACTTAATTGTCAGACACTCCCTAGCCAATCGTGTTTGATTGCTTCATCTTTAAGACTTTTTAAATAGGATGGAGGCGTGTTCGTAATAATTTATGCACACTTCTCTATAATTAACTCGCACTTTTCACAAATATATATATATATTTTTTTCCTTTGGAAGTTATTACATATTTATTTGTTTTGACCGTGAAAAAACTATAACTACACGCACGTATTGCATTATCTGTGACGATTTGTTTTGCTTATAAAAACTGTGACTCAAAAGTAAGTAATAGTTACGGTACGAAGAACAAGTCTACATAGTATTTACAGACGCGGACCGAGAGAGCGTAGCGATAAAGGTTTTAAATGGGTTACCGAGTGTGGTAAACTATCTTACCAACATGCTCTTGTTTTTCAATACAAACTTCAGTTATTAATATTATTCACAAGAAACTTCTTTTATGTACTTAATCAGGTTTAAGGAAGCATTCTAATGTCATTTAGGGCATTTTCTATGAGTGCGCCCGTCGGGCCCACAGTTGATTTTGTTTTGCGCCGGCAGCCTTTTCAGGGGGTCAATGGCGCAATGGCGCGCTCTAGATTGAACACTGAGTTATGCTCATGCAAGTTTATATGATGAGTGTACAGGAAAAAGTCATGATAATAACACAGTTTGCAGCATTTGCTTGAAATTTCAAATTTTATTTCACATGTATAATAATGTATGTTACACCAGTGTTTTGTCACCTTTGATAACAGAGGCCTACAAAAGGTCTCTTCCAATCAGAATTTTCTTTGGAATCATGCAGTTTTCCCAAAAATATGTACTTACACCAGCTTGTTAACTTCCGAAGTTAGAAAGATTAGCAATGAATTTTCCCAAAATCATGAGGCTTAGGCCTCTTCCCAATTAAGTAAGAAAACCATTGTACACATAAAAACACTTGTGTTATAATTTGATTTATTTATCTTACAGACACAAGAAGTTCGGGAAGTTTTTCATTTTCATTACATCACTTGGCCAGATTTCGGGGTACCATCTTCGCCAGTCTCATTTCTCATATTTCTAGAGGCAGTAAGAACGAAGGGGGTACTAGAACAGAACGTTGGGCCAGCAGTGATACACTGTAGTGCGGGCATAGGTCGTAGTGGTACTTTCTGTCTGGTGGATTCTGCTCTAGTTCTGGTATGTAGAAATAAAAAATTAGGAAATAATGCATATTCAGAGATGGAAAATTCTACTTGTCCTGTAGAATAATAATAAGAATAATTCAGCACATAGAATTTAAGAGAACTCGGCTAGCTTACGGAACATCGGTGGTTCTACTCAGGTACCTGTTTGTGCCTGAAATAATGCAATAATGCAAGGAAGGGCACCTGAGGTCTTCCTCCACCAGTATGAATGTCGCGATATGACCTATACTGTGTCGATGTGACGTAAAACCCAAAACAAACAAACAAACAAAAAGAGAACTCGGTGCAGGATGAGTAGAAAAATGTTGCCTGCACATTGGATTTAGAAGTGACTTAAAATATTTTTTCGGAAATATTTTTCGATGCCCTATGTTGATTTGATTTTGTATTTTTGAATCATTCATATCAACATGTATACTTTTTGAAACTTCAGTTCTTTGTGATCAAAAATGAATAGAAAGAAATTTTTGGAGCTGTTGCAAATTCTAATTTTATGAATTCCATATGAATACCTTGAGTGGCAGAGTGGTTACAGTCACCAACTTCAAATATAATTTGCCCATTTTTGTACTGCTGTGGTTTTCTATCTTAACAAAGCTTATGAAAGCTTGTTAATTTCACTCAGGTGCTTACCAGTGCTGAAATAATTATATTAAGGCAAATCTGGTTAACAGTATTGAGTAGAATACACCTATTGTTTTTGGGATCCTTAGGTGAAATAAATGCAAACTTAATGTTAAAAATGTTTCTGTTTCTATTGAATTTTCTAAAACAACAAAATTAATTTTTACAGTCATAGAACACACTTGCCTTGAGTTTGAAATCTGTTTCTGCTTGATGAATTTAAATATGATTGATATTCTACATTTTCAGTGCTTGAAAGGCAAAATGTATCTGTAGTACATACTACTTCCTTTTTCTTACATGAAAATCTTCTAATTTTATACATGTACCTAGATTATTCAATGGTTTTGGGCCTTAAGTTGTTATAAAATGATAGCAATGACTACAAAAAGAGATATTTAACATATGTTTATCGAATATTGAATAGTGCAAATAATCATCCAAGATGTAATTATCAGCCTAAAAGGTACACAGGAAAAGATCATCACAGTTAACAGATATATCAAGATTCTATCGATCTTTCAATATATGACTATTGTAGGTGGAGAATAATGGATCATTAAAGGGTATTAATGTCAAGGATTTATTGATCTCTATATTTGACCATTGTAGGTGGAGAATAATGGATCATTAAAGGGTATTAATGTCAAGGATTTATTGATCTCTATATTTGACTATTGTAGGTGGAGAATAATGGATCATTAAAGGGTATTAATGTCAAGGATTTATTGATCTCTATATTTGACCATTGTAGGTGGAGAATAATGGATCATTGAAGGGTATTAATGTCAAGGATTTATTGATCTCTATATTTGACTATTGTAGGTGGAGAATAATGGATCATTAAAGGGTATTAATGTCAAGGATTTATTGATCATGATATTTGACTATTGTAGGTGGAGAATAATGGATCATTAAAGGGTATTAATGTCAAGGATTTATTGATCTCTATATTTGACTATTGTAGGTGGAGAATAATGGATCATTGAAGGGTATTAATGTCAAGGATTTATTGATCTCTATATTTGACTATTGTAGGTGGAGAATAATGGATCATTAAAGGGTATTAATGTCAAGGATTTATTGATCTCTATATTTGACTATTGTAGGTGGAGAATAATGGATCATTAAAGGGTATTAATGTCAAGGATTTATTGATCTCTATATTTGACTATTGTAGGTGGAGAATAATGGATCATTAAAGGGTATTAATGTCAAGGATTTATTGATCATGATATTTGACTATTGTAGGTGGAGAATAATGGATCATTAAAGGGTATTAATGTCAAGGATTTATTGATCTCTATATTTGACTATTGTAGGTGGAGAATAATGGATCATTAAAGGGTATTAATGTCAAGGATTTACTGATCTCTATGAGATCATACAGAATGGGTCTCATACAGACAGCTGAACAGCTCAAGTTCTCATACATGGCTATTATTGCCGGAGCAAAGAAAGTGATTGCCTTAGCTGGTGATAGAGAGGTCAACCATGTATTAGATGACTACTTGGATAGGGTATGATACTTATGTTCTTGTTTCTTCTTTCCTTAGATCTTAAATTCTTTTTTTTTTGTTCAAGAGTTTTCTTTAAGATCCCTTATGGTGTTGTAATTAAGGATGTAATAACACTTAAGTAAAATTTTATATATGTTTATAGATCTAATTAATTAATTACTCTTCTAAAACAATTTCCAAACATCCAAAAATATGTTAAATATGTATTGCAAATGTCTATGCGCATTATAAGTAATCATTAAAATATATACATTCATTTCTTGCTTAGACTTTATTGAAAATAAATTTCTAATTGCCTCCCTTTATTTGCATGAAATGTAAATTTGGTTATAAGTTATAACTTTACAAAAATGCTTTTTGGAACTTACAATATTAATAAATCATCACTTGAGCATCATATTTATAAAACCATAAAAAAATTTGAGTTACAGGCTCTTTAAGTATACAATTTAATTTCGTTGTATTTCCATTTGCCTACAGAAGACTATAAAATTTAACTAAATATTATGAATATTTAACCTCAAGTTATACTTTTTTAAACACCATTTCACCTGATACAGGCATAGTTAATTGCTGTTTAGTTGATTCTTGGTTATCATTGTCTCCTTAAATTTGATTCTTGGTTATCATTGTCTCAGTTAATTTGATTCTTGGTTATCATTGTCTCAGTTAATTTGATTCTTGGTTATCATTGTCTCAGTTAATTTGATTCTTGGTTATCATTGTCTCAGTTAATTTGATTCTTGGTTATCATTGTCTCAGTTAATTTGATCCTTGGTTATCATTGTCTCAGTTAATTTGATTCTTGGTTATCATTGTCTCAGTTAATTTGATTCTTGGTTATCATTGTCTCAGTTAATTTGATTCTTGGTTATCATAGTCTCATTTATTAGCATGTGAATATGGGGTAAAAATAGATAATCATCATTGGAATTAGATATACATGTATTACCTCATAATTTTTCAAATAAATTCACTTAATATAAAAATTTAATTTTTAAGGCGATGGATATTTTCTCAGTAAAGGGAGATAAGTACTATAATATTATGCAGTTAATTCTAACATAAGTATTCAAAGAATATTGGTGCTACTTACTTATGTAGTCAGCGTAATATTTACAGTAATCATTTAAAACTTTACACATGATGTATATTGTAGTTGAAGAACACTGTCGCAAGACAATTGTCCTGGTTGTAAGGTGTATCTTCACCACTTTTGACTGTATTCATTTTAGTCACCACCACTCATGTTATCAGTGTGATAATTGAAGGACACTGACCTAGCCTTGTGACTCTTCCAACAATAATTACCTGTTTCTTTTCCTTTTGAGAGTTAACAAAATTCCTGTATGGCCATTATGTCACAATCATGCACTGACATGTGTATATAGTTTTGTTCATCTGACAGCCCCTGATTATTCTCGTCTAAATTTATTAACTTTTTTCAGACCTAAGTTTGTATGATAATTTCCCACTTTCTAGAGAGAAAGAAAAATAAGCTTGATGAACACATCTGCGGATGTTTATAAATTCGAAATTTTGACATTTCATGTGTAAACGTTAAATTCTGCTTAAGCTTGTGCAAGGGGCGTGGACAGTAGTTTGCACTTGACAGTACCATTCATGAACAGGCTCAATCAAACCGTGCCCGAAACATTTTCAATTTTGCTGTTTTTGACTTTCTTTAGGGATTCTTATTTTGTCTATTTGATATCTGACAGGGTGAAACTCCGCCAACTCCTCCCGATAGATACGAATCCTTGCCATCCAATAGAAGAGGGCCAAAGCCCCAGCCTCCTCCTCGAAAACACAACACGGATGAAGTGTCTCAAGATGAGCCTGCGGCCAAACAGTCTAAGCTGGACTCATCAGTACCTCAGGTTCCAGAAAGAGCTAATGTTGAGGGTAAAATAATCAATAGAGACTCGGATAGTGCTAGAAATGATTCTAGAGCATTACCAGATGATGGTAGGCAGCATGATATAAAAAAACAAGACTCTGAAAATAATAATCCAAAAAAAGACGAAGATGTAGTGAAAGGTGGAGATAGTAGAGGAGGGGGTCAGGAAGGGGAAGGGGACGAGGATAGTCAAGACAAGCAAACTGGTAACTCTGTTTCGGAGCCTCTTAGGTAATAAAAAGCTTTATTTGTCATCAATTTACTATTTATAACAGTTAAACTATGTTGGCTTGATCACGTGTTTTAAAATCTTTCTAAAATAGATATGATTTTTAGCATGTAGTAGCTTATTGGTATGATATCTACAGTTTAATTTCAACAACGGCTCACAAAAAAACTGGTAAATTTGGACCAAGTTTTACGAAATGTATCTTGGGCGTCTTCCTTAAAACTAAATTGTTATAGACCGATTCATAGTTAGGTCTTGGGGGAGCTAGAAGTAGAATTTAAAACTGAAATCTGGCCAGAAAAAACATTGCCAAGTGCTAGATATGATATTTGAAATCTAGTATTGCAGAGTGGTTATCTACAAAGGTTTATCAATCATGCTGCCAGGATCAAAAATGGTCCTGCTCTGCCCATAACTTCTTTTTTAAGATCAAGATTGATGGTCTAGTTTCTAAATATTGAAGAAAGGGAATTTCACATATGAACAACCTTCTCTTTCCAGACACATCAGATATTGAGTTAAAAAGTAAACATGTGTTAGAGGTAGGCAAATTTTAACATGATATATAGTTGTAGAGTAGACTCATAGGGTTAAGGAAAAGGTCACCATGGCACAAACTTCTTGTTTGTTAATAACGTATCAGTCAATATTAACACCCCTATCCCCAAGGGAATATTTAAGACTTTCACCCCTACCCCCAAGGGAATATTTAGGACTTTCAACCCGCTGGTAAAGGGTGTTGCCCAGCAGGGACTGTCAGACAGGATGTCAAACTCTGCAAGTTGGACATAATGATTAATCTTGTCTATTTGGGACCAAACAAAACCTTTGTATTGACCTTGTAGTGTGATGATTGATAACAGGTAAGACCTCATTTACCCCCATTATTCACTGCTGTTTCACTTTTTAGCTCGACTATTCGATAAGAATAAGTAGAGCTATTGTAGTCACCCGAGCGTCGGCGTCGGTGTCCGCGTCGGCGTAACCACTTATGTTAAAGTTTTTGTAATAGTTCAAATATTTTCAAAGTCCATTGACATATGGCTTTGAAACTTGGCACACTTGTTCACCATCATGACCCCAACCTATAAACAGGAGGAGGTAACTGTATCAAGCATTTTGACAGAATTATGCCCCTTTTTCGACTTAGAATTTATGTTAAAGTTTTTGTAATAGTTCAAATATTTTCAAAGTCCATTGACATATGGCTTTGAAACTTGGCACACTTGTTCACCATCATGACCCCAACCTGTAAACAGGAGGAGGTAACTGTATCAAGCATTTTGACAGAATTATGCCTTTTTTCGACTTAGAATTTATGTTAAAGTTTTTGTAATAGTTCAAATATTTTCAAAGTCCATTGACATATGGCTTTGAAACTTTGCACACTTGTTCACCATCATGACCCCAACCTGTAAACAGGAGGAGGTAACTGTATCAAGCATTTTGACAGAATTATGCCCCTTTTTCGACTTAGAATTTATGTTAAAGTTTTTGTAATAGTTCAAATATTTTCAAAGTCCATTGACATATGGCTTTGAAACTTTGCACACTTGTTCACCATCATTACCCCAACCTGTAAACAGGAGGAGGTAATTGTTTCAAGCATTTTTTTTACTATCAAGCACTAAGAATAGTCGAGCGTTGCTGTCCTATCGACAGCTCTTGTTGTATATCTTGTACCAATAATGTTAATTTCCAGATTTACTTTGAAACGCAATCTGACCAAAGTTTAGATCTCATATTTACATTTAGATCTGATGGTGACCGATAGGAGGTCACCTTCTTGTGACCTTTTAATCAGCGGCCACATTGATGTTGTTGAAAGTGGATCCTTTCTATTTTAAACCTCCTGGAAACCACAATAGTATACACAATTTTCACAATTTCAAGATCTTAAATGTGAACAAATATTGTGATGCGCACATTTTGTAGATAAATTACCTAGAATCAATGCTTAGGTACCAGAAATGATAGAATCTAATGTTTTGCAGAAATTTAATTCCAAATATCTACTTAAAATGTTTTTTATCTAAGGCAAAATTGATGACTTGACTGAATTCAAGGATGATATGAAATGCTTCTTCGTAAGGTTTGTTTAAAAAAGCCGAATCAGAAAATCCAAATCAGATCATTATGTAAACATAAGAAGATTTGAACTTATGTCAGATTGCTTTAAAATGATAATATAATATGCCATTTGTTTTCTACTTATTTTGTTAACAGTGACACACATTTACGACAGAGGAGACAAGAAGAGCGGCACAAGAGGAAAGAAAGGACACAAGAGATGATCAACAAGATGAAGGAGAAACAGAAAACTAGTGAAACGTGGAAGAAAAGGCGGTCAATCTTTAAACCAATAGCAATTGGACTGTCATTGCTAGTTGGTACATATATACTCTACAGGCTATATTGGTAGCTGAATTTATTACTGGGTTTTTTAAAGAAAGAAAAAATTACAGATATTTTTTTTTTGAAGTGTGTGAGAAACATGTTTTTAACTAAGTGTGATCAGATGTATTTGGAAGTGAAATTGATTGTCAATTTGTACATTTTGTTCTCATTGTGTACAGAAAGTTTTTTTGAGTAAGTAGAGCTGAACTGTGGGACTTTTTTTCTCCTAATGTTAGAGATTCTAATTTTCCAGTATCTAAGCCACATGGGATAATACAGTGTTGTTGTATAGTGTGAACTTAAAAGAATCAAGGTTATTGATAATATATTATTTTGCGGATAAGCAGTTGTTCTCTTATCCCACAGAGTTTTTTTAAGTTCATAAATTTTTCAAAAAACTTGTCGCAATCATTTAGATGGCTATCTTAAATTTTTTTGGGGGGTAATATTTTGGAGGTCATAGCCTTTAAAGATAAGATGTTAAGGACTTGGTTTGAATTTCTTTTTTACATGTATAAAGGGGCGGCAAAATCAATTTTCTGTATTGACGATTGTCCCACAGCCTGTATGGAGGTTGAAGCACAGCCTGTAAGAAGGTTGTCCCACAGCCTGTACGGAGGTTGTCCCACAGCCTGTACGGAGGTTGAAGCACAGCCTGTAAGAAGGTTGTCCCACAGCCTGTACGGAGGTTGACCCACAGCCTGTACGAAGGTTGTCCCACAGCCTGTAAGAAGGTTGTCCCACAGCCTGTATGGAGGTTGACCCACAGCCTGTACGAAGGTTGTCCCACAGCCTGTACGGAGGTTGACCCACAGCCTGTACGAAGGTTGTCCCACAGCCTGTAAGAAGGTTGTCCCACAGCCTGTAGGGAGGTTGACCCACAGCCTGTACGGAGGTTGAAGCACAGCCTGTAAGAAGGTTGTCCCACAGCCTGTACGGAGGTTGACCCACAGCCTGTACGAAGGTTGTCCCACAGCCTGTAAGAAGGTTGTCCCACAGCCTGTATGGAGGTTGACCCACAGCCTGTACGAAGGTTGTCCCACAGCCTGTACGGAGGTTGACCCACAGCCTGTACGAAGGTTGTCCCACAGCCTGTATGGAGGTTGACCCACAGCCTGTACGAAGGTTGTCCCACAGCCTGTACGGAGGTTGACCCACAGCCTGTACGGAGGTTGTCCCACAGCCTGTACGGAGGTTGAAGCACAGCCTGTAAGAAGGTTGTCCCACAGCCTGTACGGAGGTTATCCCACAGCCTGTACGGAGGTTGTCCCACAGCCTGTACGGAGATAAAAGGGACAAGAAAGTCAAAATCAGATTTTGTCGATCAGAGTATTATTACCCTTAGCCTGATAGCAGCAACAGAATCTAACCATGTGACACTTAGCAGCAGGCAGATCTGTTCTGTATAATCAGCGTCTGCACTGTTGGCTATTCAGTCAGTACTTATTTTGAAAATACACATGTACATGTATTCCCTAAAAAAATAGGATACATAGTTATGTCTGGATTAAAAAATGGACTTGTTCATTTGAGATATTACAGGAAGTAAGGGTTGGTAATATATTCATTAATATGCTGATTAACCTGTAAAACAATGAAATGAAATTTCTTATTCAAATTTTACCTGATAAGTGTGACATTGTGGCTACATGGAAGTTCTATTTGTTATTTTATTATTATTTTTCTAATGTTTGATATAAAAGTTATGAAAAGTGGTACAATATGTAAATTTCTGATTTTTTTTTTCTGTATACTGTGAAATCATTTGTATTCGTGGGCATGAAATTTCGTGGTTTTATCAAAACAGGCATTTTCGTGGGTTCTTAAATTCGTGGATTTTCATTTTCTTGTAAAAAAAAGTAATGGAAAGTAATCTTTCACTTAATCACTGCGCTGTTTTACTTACCCCGTGTATATAACACAGCTCTTGTCAATAAATTTAATCCTGGCCTCTGGCAGTAACACAATTACTGCCGATAATTGACTGCAATTAACACCTTTGTGTGACATGATATGCAGCTCCATTATATGCCCCTATAATTCGCCAATGTAAACATCGCATAAATTATACGACATCTGCCAATTTTTAACCAGCCAGTAAAAAAGTTAACACCCCGAATTAGTCCAAAACTACACACTACATCACATCGACTGTATAAATTTATATGCATATAAATTAATACCAGTAAATGGCTCAATACAGTTACATACATGTATATGTGCATCTAGTGTAAAGACGACGGCTTCTTTGATATTTTCGGAATAGCAGTCACACAAATACATATTGAAAAAAATATATTTAAATGGATCATAATTATAAACACTAGTCGTTAAAAGTTTTATCGGGGATAATTAATGCACTTGGTTCCCATATTTACTCGATTATGTCACGTATTCTGGCTAACACAATCAAGTAGCCTACAACGATCAAGTAGTCCCCTGATGTTTACATGCGACGAACATTTGTGACAGCAAACTGAAGACATACAATCGATTTTTCTTTCAAGTTTCTTAAATATTGCAAAATTAAACTATTTATGGATTTAATTTGTCACTGACCTGATTATAATATACATTCATACCACAAATATCGGTCGGAAAAGCGCCGACGCATGTTGTGATATATGGAACAGAGACATGGTAAGACGCGTTTGTTGGGATAAAATTTCGTCGGGTCTTAAATTCGTGGATTGACCTATCCACGAAAACCACGAAAATTCGTGCCCCACGAATAATGATGATTTCACAGTATTACTTTAGTTAGGCTGAAGTATTAGTGACCTTATTGTATTATATTGTTATATTGTCCAGAAAGGTTTTTTGATAGGGCTTTTTATATACCACAAAAGAGATTTGAAGGATTAAAATTTATAACAATATATCGTTTTATATCTATAACTCAATTCATGTTTGTTTTAATATTATTTGATAAAAAATACCTTGATATGTATATATGTCTTATTAAGCTCTCATTTTATGAAATACTTTGTTGCTAAGAAACTATGAAAGCAAATTAATTTGATAAAGACTTGCCATGTTATCTTTTTAAGTTTTACTCCTCATTATTATACTAAGGACTTGCATTTATTACCTATAAAAGTCTTATCTACTGATGATTATACGTGAATTTCTAGAATTCTTTTGAAGACATTATTTGATTATTTTTTTGGTTCATTAATTCTAAGTTTGGTTCATTTATAACTCTGTAAACTGCTGAATTTTTGTAACTGATTAACCATACTTTGGATTTGGAACAGTCGATTTAAAGTTTTAGGGGGTTTTCAATATAAAAATAGAGCTACCAACAGTATATAGCCCTGTCAGACTGTACAGATATGCAAAATATGCTGGTTGAAGACTGGTACCAAAGTCTTGTTTTGGTAGGGTAGGGGATAATTTACTGAAAAACTAATGTTAGTATATCAGACCAGAAAGTTTGGCTCAGGATCACATTTTGTTCTGCTGGTTCATTGGGAATACAAGACAAAAAGTGTATTTTAGGTGAGGTTTCTATGTCTGACTGCCCAGCAGCATTGAGGGGTTAGTTAAAACTTAAGATCTGTTAGCATTGGAATCTATATTTTGTAGTTCAGGGATACTTGTGATGAATTATTTGGCAAGCTTAGTTTTTGCTGAAATATTGATGAGAACCAGTTTTCAGATGGAATATTGCAAAGTGAAAAGAATCCAACTTTGTTTATACTTTTTTCTTGTTGAAATGGCAATATGATGTTTTGTTTTAATCGTGGACCAAAGTTATATGCTTAGCTTTAACAATTATACTACCCTCACAATTGCATGTCTGATAAATTTATCACCACACACTAATCTTTTGTCTGATTGGTTTATAACTCTCATGACCTCTCATCTGATTGGTTAATTCCTTGCTCAAAATTTGAAATTAACCAATGAGAGTTGATTTTGAGATTTTGTCTCACTTATTGATATTAAACTTGCATTTGGGATTTGTTTAAAAAAAAAAAAGCAGTTGATTTTTAGATTACAGAGTTAAACAGAGTTTTGAGGTTGTAGATTTCCATCATCAAATAGAAAACATAGGAATAATTAAAGGGTGATTTTTTATTTTTCATTATAAACTTACTATAATTAATAATAACAATATGGGGAACTATAATATGGGGAATTGGATTTGTGCAGTGAGAATCTTAATTTATCAAACTTACCAGTCACAGCTGCTGTAAAATACTGCTTAACTATTCTGATAAATTTTTGAAAAATACCAAATTTTACCCATAACGGGGTATATGTTATGGCAATGATGATTTGCCCGTACACACTACCATTTTGCAATTTAGCTTGATTTGTAAATATATGTTTGAACTTTTGCTGAATTAGTATTATGGAGTCTTGCCGTGTTAAAGATATAGAATTTTCTGTTGTATTACAAGGGACTAAATTGTAAAAAAAGTAAATCTTGATTAATTTAGACAACAATAACATGCCGTCATCTTAGTGCAATAACTGGTTAACTCCTATTAAATTTAGAAGGACTTAACCCATTACTGCACTAAGGTGACAATACATGCTGGCCTGGTACGTAAATATTTCAGATATTTTAAGTTATAATCATGAGCATATCTGTTAACATTGAATAATGTATATCAATGAAAATTATATCATTTATCTTGCTTACAGTATTTTCCTAGATTTATTTTTGCTACTGAAGTTATTTTATTTTTGTTTTATTTTTGTAGTAGAAAGAAAAAAAAATAACTAAATAATTTCTTAATACAAATGGCCACAACATCAAGTAACAAAAGATACATGTTAAAGTTATGTGAGAATGGTAACATGTAATATGTATATATATGTATTTTGCTTGCATGTGGATCAACAAGGTTATTTTATGCTGTGTATTTTTTTAATACTGTTAACTCCTGTTATATACTTCTATATACTCCTGTATCTATTAACCCTTCTCCTGCTGAATTTCTTTAATAAACTTTTTCAGTTTTTATTATTTTGGGATATCAAGATGAAAAAATAATTGATCAACCAATAGTATAGAGCTTGGTCAGACTGATCTATACAGTGGTCAGATTGATCTATACTATGGTCAGACTCCTCTATATTGGTCAGACTCCTCTATATTGGTCAGACTCATCTATATTGGTCAGACTCATCTACAATGGTCAGACTCATCTAAAGACTGGTCAGACAGGTCTATTACTGGTCAGACTCGGCTATAGTGGTCAGATTCATCTACACTTGTCAGACTAATCTATACTGTGGTCAGACTTATCTATACTGGTCAGGTGGAGAGGGCAAATCATTTTTCAGATCCAGCAGGGGAAGGGTTAAAAACAACACTTTATGAAAATAATCTTTTTTCTTCTTATCTACATTGTTCAGGGATTTTCTACTTTTGTTTTATCAAGTTTATCTGTTATTCAAGTTATATAATAATGAAATACGTGCCTTGATAAAGGTGTCCTGGAGTATTCTGGGTAATACTGAGGTTGTTTTGAACACTGTATGTAAAGTTTTCTATATAAAATTGTTAAATCATGAAATGGGTTTAGTGTGGCTAGCACTTGAAATGATTATTTTTCGTATTGTACTTTATATGGGTTTCCTGTATTAATATAACTTTCAATATTGTATACCCTGTGATTTCCTCTTGGTAACAAAGAATGTCAAATTTTCTGCTACGTCATGTATTTCGCTTTCATTTACATGGCATTCTTTTCTCTAAAATAGATTTATTAACAAGAAATACAAACTTACCATTCTAATGAGAGAGAAAAAAAAGATATTTGATATCTTTACATAGATTTTTTCTTTGGACTTTATAAAGAGGGAAGACAAATTTATTATCAAAATCGCCATTGAAAAATAATGAGAAAACCATGTTAATGCTTACTATTTTTTTTAGGTAAAAATTGTTGTTTCTGCATTGACACAGCATGTTTTGAATGTTGTTATAGTTTTTATGGTGCTAAAAGGTATCTAATTGTGGGCCATTTGGTTGTACAGTTATTTTTATGTCACACGTTTTACAGACTGTCACCTGTTGGTAAGATTATCTCTGTCCCACTGCGACAGTCATTGAATTAATATAATTTGTCACCTTAATGCAGAAACCTGTTAACTCCTATAGAAATTCAGGAATTAACCTACTATTGCACTGAGGTGATTATCTTTTATAAGATATGGTATTTTTGACAAACAGTTTACTATTATGTAACTTAAAGACTTTTGAAATGCTTGAATCAGTCATTAAAAAAAACTCATTATTAGTGTTACTTAACTTTTTTTACATTTAAAATTAGAGAAAATATAGAATTTATAATAGTTGAGCTAAAATCAATAATAACATTATAGGTATTATGAAATAATTGTTGAATAAAGCACAGACATTTGAAGGTTGCTTGATTTGAACTAGGACTGACGATAAGTCCAAGATTTGAAAGAAGGATTTGCCTGTGCCATTTTGCATATATTTGCCTAACAGCATTTTAAGATTTGATAACAGAAAATTGACAAGATTTAATATAATAACCTTTCTCATTTTTTTTTTCATTTCTGTCTGCTTTCAATTTTTGAAATTTCAAACTAACAGTCACAGCTTGGTGTTATTTGACCCTGCACTTGACTTTTTTAACACTTTTTTTTAACAACCCCAGAGTTAACAATTGAGTGAACAAAAATGCATAGCACAGGCAAGGTAAATTCTCCGAGATACATAAGTTATCTGAAATATGTTACAAATGATCAATATAGTAACATG